GTAAATTCTAATTTTTTTCCTCACATGACTATTACAATCTCATATTTCATGTCCATGTGGATATTAAAACTCAGTCTGACTGGATACATTTTGAAACATCTTTTGTCACTCTCCTCCAACCTATGCCATACTTAGTGTCAGTTTAAAGGCTTAAACTGCTCTATTTTCAATCTCTTCTTCATCTCTGGCACCTACAGATTTCCTTTATTTACTGTAAGATAAACTAAACAACAAAAAAAATATTTATTAAATTGTATTGACCATATTACAGGTGTTTTATTGGTAGTATTTTCATATATTTTAGTCTACCATACTTTCCTAGTTCTGGAATGGTAATACAGTCTTACAAAAACTTGTCTTTTATTACTACATTACACCTTATTTAAAATTTTTAAACTTAAACCTTATTATAATTATATCAGTGTGGATGTCCTTGTTAAATAGATTTGGAGTAGAGAGTCAAATTGTAAATATCCAATAGCTAAACCCAAAGAAGTTATAAATATGTTAATAAAACTAAAGGAGAAATTATTTATACCCAAATATGATTCAAATTTTAACAGAAGAGTTGAGGAAATATTCATCCCTTCATTTTGGTTAATAAAGTACTTTTTTATGTTACTTTTTAAGAACAATGCAATTCACTTCATTGAGTCACTGAAGGCTTTCTTCTCTGGCTTGTTTCTCAGGGTATAAACAAATGGGTTCAGCATATGAGAGGTAGAAGATATGAGCAGAGACATACCTTTATTAAGAGCCACCTTTGCTTTGCTGAAGGTTTGATATAGATGAAGATGCAGTGGCCATAGGTGATGGGAATCATGATCATGTAGGAACAATGGGTTGAAAAGGTGTTTTTCCTTTGTTGAGCAGAACAGAATGGTAGAATTGCCATGATAATATAAATGTAAGACAGAACTACACAAACACAGGTCATGATGAAAGTCAGTACAGCACACACTAAAATCATTCTCTCTGTGAATCGAGTGTTTGAACGTGAGATCTTTAGGAGAATGGCATCGTAGAAAAAAATGATCAATGACAATAGAGTCACCAAAAAAAAAAAAAAAACAAATCCAATGCCGTCCATTTGATTCCAACTCATAGTGACCCTATTAGAGTCACAGAATTCCAGATTTAGACCTAAGTTAAGTGGGGGGATTATGATTAGCCACTGGGTGAAAGGGCAAGCATTAGAAGTTTCAGGGTGATTGAGTAGCTAGAGACCTCCAGAGAGATTTGCAGATTTCTCTTCCAATGGGTTTACACTTCAGAGGGGGATGAAACCTGCAGGCCCAGAACCAGTCTTTCACGTTTCAAAGGATGATAAATGACTAGGGAACAAGAAGGCAGCTATCCTGCTTCATTGTAAACTCCCAGATTCAAAATGGCAATGATACATTTTCCAGTAAATATCTTTGTAATAAATTTTGCAAAATAAATTTTATTTTGTTATTAACATCTTGCCCAGATGTGCTTTAAATGTGCTTGTTTTAGGCAAATATAGACTTCTTTGAGCTTATTTTTGTTGTTGTTATTGCCATGGAGTTCATTCCGACTCAGAGCAACCTCATGTGTGCGGAGTAGAATTGCTCTTTAAGGTTGTCAAGGCTGTGACCTTTCAGAAGAACATCGTCGGGCCTGTCTTCCGAGGTGGGTTCAAACAATCAACCTTTCAGTTAGTAGTCCAGAGCTTAACCATTTCCAACACCCAAGGATTCATATGGATATTAAATTGTATATCTCTAGAGAGATAATATCATTTACTAGAATGAACACATGCTTTTAAGCTCCAACATGCTTCCCACATACACTCATTATGAATAGCTTCTATATTTGCTCAAAAAGGAAAAACATTTTCAGAACACTTGCAAACTGACGAAAAGAAAAACATTAAATTCATTAGAAGTTTATCTATGGAAAGTAAAGACTGGGAGTGCAAAACAGAAATAAAAGAAAGAAAGAAATCAAAGTAGAGGTGGTCACAGATACATTGGTGACAATAATATATGATGAACTGAGATGCGTAACTAATTCAACCATCTGTACCTGGATATTAAAGAAAGAAAATTTCTGAAACTCAATTTTCCAATATTTGAAACAAGGGTAAGAAAAATGGAGTAGAAATGCATATGTATGTGGGTGAGGTGGAGGGCTCTTTCATTTCTTTTTTTGGGATCGGCAAAAACACATTAAATGATACATCCTTGGATTTCAGTCAATGGTAGATACGATTACCATTGACTAACATTTTAATACAATAAGAGTTTTCCAGCATACTGTTGTTATATATTAATTTCTATCTTTAATTTATAGTAAATTTCATTATGTTCTTTTCTATTTATAGTTTACAGTAAGTTGTTATTTTAGTCTTTCCTATTTAAATAATACATTCCTTGGATGTGGAACCAGAGATATCGTTGCTGATGTCAGATGGATCCTGGCTGAAAGCAGAGAACACCAGCAAGATCTTTACCTGTATTTTGTTGACTATGCAAAGGCATTTGATTGTGTGGATCATAACAAATTATGGATAACATTGAGAAGAATGCGAATTCCAGAACACTTAATTGTGCTCATGAGGAACCTGTACACAGATCAAGAGGCAGTTGTTCAGACAGAACAAAGGGATACTGCTTGGTTTAAAGTCAGGAAAGGTGTGTGTAGGGTTACATCCTTTCGCCATACCTATTCAGTCTGTGTGCTGAGCAAATAATCCGAGAAGCTGGACTATGTGAAGAAGAAAGTGGCATCAAGATTGGAGGAAGACTCATTAACAACCTACATTATACAGAAGACACAACCTTGCTTGCTGAAAATGAACAGGACTTGAAGCACTTACTGATGAAGATGAAAGACCACAGTCTTCAGTATGGATTACATCTCAACATAAAGAAAACAAAAATCCTCACAACTGGACCAATAAGCAACATCATGCTAAACAGAGAGAAGATAGAAGTTGTCAAGGATTTCATTTTACTTGGATCCACAATCAACACCCACAGAGCAGCAGTCATGAAATCAAAAGACGCATTGCATTTGACAAGTCTGCTGCAAAAGACCTCTTTAAAGTGTTGAAAAGCAAAGATATCACCTTGAAGATATCAGTGTGCGCCTGACCCAAGCCATGGTATTTTTCAACTGCAACGTACGCATGCAAAAGCTGGACAATGAATAAGAAAGACCAAAGAAGAATTGACACCTCTGAATTGTGGTATTGGAGAAGAATATTGACTATACAACGAACTGCCAAAAGAACGAACAAATCTGTCTTGGAAGAAGTACAACCAGAACCCTCCTTAGAAGGAAGGATGGCAAGACTATGTCTTACATGTTGTCAGGAGGGATCAGTCCCCAGAGAAGACATCATGCTTGATAAAGTACAGGGTCAGCAAAAAAGAGGAAGACCCTCAACGACATGGATTGACACAGTGGCTGCCACAATGGGCTGAAGCATAACAACGCTTGTGAGCATGGCGCAGGACCAGGCAGTGTTTCGTTCTGTGGTGCATAGGGTTGCTATGAGTTGGAACCGACTTGATGGCACCTAACAACAACAATTTAAATAATAATTACTCTCTTTGTTGTCATAATTAATTTTAATACAGATGAAGACCAGCTAGCAGGTACCATTTAAAATTGGAAATCGTAATGTGTAATGCTTGCTCTGACAGAAGGAGGAAATATGTATGAGCACCAATAATATGCATATCTAATCAGGCATAGATTTGGGAAAGGGCCAACTAAAGACTTTTCAGTGCAATTTATACTGAGAGCTGAAAGACGTATAGGATTTATTTGAAAGATCAGGTGAAGATTGAAATGAAATACATTTCTAAAAGAGGTATAGCATGAACAACTATGTAGAAATAAAAATTAGAGATATAAATGCCTTCCATATGCCTGGACCATGAGAATTAGGGAGACATATATGAACAGTGGTGAAGAATATGATAACTAGGAATGTGAAGATTTTGTTTAAGAACTAACACTCTGACTCATACTTTTTATTCTTTCAAACTCTATACTATTGATTTCTGGTGAAAGGAAACTTTTTTTTTTTTTTTTAGATTTTAGTTTTCATTTTGATATCCATTGTATAATCAGAATTTTCTATATATTTTTCAAGTTTAATTATATTGGGATTTTCTCTCTTCTGTGTGCATACTATGCTACTTTTATGATGGTGTCTCAATCCATGTTTCAGTGCTCGCCCTGCTTTGTCCTAGGAAAGGCTGTTTTATTTCCATCTTTATTATAAATTCCCATTCAAGATGTTGTCTTCAATTCCTTCCCATGTTAATCTTTCCCTTTGGTAATAAAGTGCATTTATTTTGAAAACGTTACATTTTCAGATTTTTTTAAAAGTATTTTGAAATTTATCTTATTATTTCTTGAGAATGGTATTGATAGATATGTGGATGGAAACTGTGTGTATGTGTGTGTATCTCACACATACACAGCTGATTTGTTTGCTGAATTGGTGTCACTGTTTTAGCGGTGAGATCTGGCTTGTTTTCCTGGAAAATCTCTTAATGAGAGATGTCAGCCCAGCCCAAATGTTCCGCAAGGAGGCGACAAAATGAATTACTTAGGATCTATTTTAGCTGCAAGACCAATAACGTTTTTAGACAGTCAATGTGAGTTTAATGATGACTACAAAGATATACAATAATTTAGAAGTATAAGGCTCACTAACCAAGTGTTTCTCAATTTATCTGTAATGAAGGACTAGCCCCCCTCCAAATTCATTGTAAAATACAATGAAAATGACTTTCTAAAAATGAAACAAAAAATACAAAAATACAAGTTCAAATTTTTTATTAATAAATTCAACAAACATTAACTTTTTCAAATTGCTCTTAATGTTTCTAAAAGCTTGCTATCAGTTTCTGTACTCATATGATCAAACATCAAAAACAGTTTGCTGATCAGCTCTGGTCCTATGACCACTACACCACACTTTCCTGATGACCTGAGTCCACAATTTCAATAATTCCCTATTTCCTGGAGAGAAATGCATTTCTTTTGATTGAATCATTCAAAGCTTGTTTCACTTGTTTGTTTTTCAGGGTATATATAAATGGGTTTAGCATGGGGGCAATGGAAGTAGTGAGCACAATCACACCCTTGTTAATGTCCAGTTCTTCTTTTGCTGAAGGTTTAAAGTAAGTGAAGATGCAGCTTCCACAGGTGATGGATACAACAATCATGTGGGAAGAACATGTGGAAAAAGCCTTTTTTCTTTGCTGAACAGAGAGAAATTTTAGAATTGTCTTGATGATGAATATGTAGGAAAGAAGCACATACACGAGGGTCATGATGAAGGTCATCACAGCACAGGCTGTAACCGTCTGTTCTAAGAACCATGTATCTGAGCAAGAGATCTTGAGGATAGGAGATGCATCACAGAGAAAATGATCAATGACATTTGAGTCACAGAATTCCAGATTTAAGCCTAGGCTTAGTGAAGGGGTTATGTTTAATAAACCACCAACCCAACAGAAGAGAACAAACCTTCTGCAAACTCTTCTGTTCATGATGGCCACGTAATGCAAAGGTTTGCAGATGGCTACGTAACGGTCATAGGACATGATGGCCAGGAGAAAAAATTCTGTTGATCCAAAAAGAAAAATAAAAAATAGTTGGGTGGCACAAGAATTATAAGTAATGGTACTGCCTCCAGTCGACATGCTATACAGAAATCTGGGAATACAGACTGTAGAGAATGAGATCTCTAAGAAAGAGAAATTTTGGAGGAAAAAGTACATGGCAGATTTAAGGTGAGAACTCACTAAGGTGAGGAAGATGATGGTCAGATTTCCAGTGACACTCAACATGTAAGTGACAAGCAGAAAGATAAACATCAGAACTTGCAGTCGTCGGTCATCTGTCAATCCCAACAGGATGAACGTTGATAGTCTTGTATGGTTTCTCATTACTGACTCCTGACTTCAGACCAATCTGCTTAAGTAGTTGAGATTGAAAATGAGAAAAGGATATGAAAAATTATGTTAATAATGGAAATTAGCAAGAAAATGCAATGAGGGGAATTAGCGTAGATTTTCTTCCTGGACTTAACAATGAATCTTGTGAATACATGGCTGACTTCAGCTCTAACTGACGTGTGTTGCGTAGTTAATTTAGGGAAGGTTTTCTCAAAATTAGGAGCCCCAATGGCGCAATAGTAGAGCCCTAGTGGCCCAGTGTTTAAGAGCTCGGCTGCTAACCAAAAGATCGGCAGTTCAAATCCACCAGCCATTCCTTGGAAACCCCTCAGGGCAGTTCTACTCTGTCCTATAGGGTCGCTATGAGTTAGAAACGAGTTGACAATGATGGGTTTGTTTTTGGTTTTTTTTTTTTTTTGGTTCAGGAGTGCAGTGGTTAAGCACTTGGCTACTAAGTAAAAGGTCGGCAGTTGAAACCCACCAGCTGCTCCGCAGGAGAAAGGAATGGCAGTCTGCTTCCATAATGATTTACAGCCTTGGAAACCCTGTGGGGCAGTTCTACTCTGTCCTTTAGGGTCACTATGGGTTGAAATTGACTGGACGGCAATTTGTTTGCTTTTTGGGTTCTCAAAATTGTTGTCAATGTACTAGAGTCCTTATATTTATAGCCCTTTCCACTTTCTCAAATTTCATTTTTCAATTGATTTGATGTTGTGAATATATTTGGTCAACTTAATCTAGCCATAGGATTAAAAGAGAACATTGATGTCTATGATTTCATAGACAGTCTGATACCCTTTTGCTTCCAATCATTTTTCTGTACTCACAAGTTGAAATCAAAACATTATCATCACTTTCATGTCTTTGCTTGAAGTGCTAGTTTTTAATTAAATATAAATCCAGAAACTAATGATTTTGGCAGACTACACAGATGTTGTGTATCTATTTACATAGAACTTGAGAAAACTTAGAACTGCTGTGTCTAAAAAAATTTTTTTAATAAAAAAGAGATTCTTATAAGAACCCCCTCTTTGTTCCTATCCACTGACACACATGATTTTCACACTTGTTCATTCTGAAGTAGGGCATCGTTTTTTGATGTGCCATCTGGTAACCTGGCAAAAATTCAAAGTCCCAAGTGGCTCTATCCTACTTTAATGAGCCTGGTTCTGGGGCTATTAGCTTCTCCAGGTAAATTTGAAACATACTAAAGTTTGGAAACACTCCACTACGATGATTAAGCTATACATACCAAAAGAACACAACTATTATATTTTGTGATTAGGTAAAGTTGAAATCCTGGCAATGCTTTACTATTAAAGTTGTGATTATTTTAGCTACCTTCTAGTCAGCGTTCAACTCATGGCAGCTTCATGCACAACAGATCTAATTACTGCCTGGTCTTGCGCCTGCCCCATGAGATGTTACAGATCAGATCATTGCGACCCACAGGGTTTTCATTAGGTGATTTTGGAAACTAGATCACTTCCCTAGTCTTAGTCTGTAAGGCCCCTGAAACATGTTCAACATCACAGCAACAGTCAATCTACCACTAACAGATGCGTGGTGGCTGTGCATGAGGTATCAAACCTGAGTCTCCTGCATGGAAGGTGAGAATTCTGCAACCGAACCACCAATACCTTGCACTATCAAGGGTTAAAAAAAAGAAGAGTTGCCATTGAGTTCACTCCGACTCATAGCGACCCCATACGTGTCAGAGTAGAACTGTGATCCAAAGGGTTTTCAATGGCTGATTTTTCACCAGGCCTTTCTTCTGAGGTACCTTGGGGTGGACTCTAACCTCCAACCTTTCAGTTAGAAGGTGAAAGCATTAACCTTTACACCACTATGGGTTATGGTCAAATAAGATTTAAAATAATAAATCTATTCTCCAGGAATTTACCACTTTTATCCCATTGCTTTTCCTTCTCATTTACAAATTTTTTTTTTTTTCCAAAATACCACCACTCATCAATGCCTCACGCATTCTAATCTGGTTGTGCATCAGCATTTTATGAAAATGGTTTTGAAAAGACCATCTGTAATAGCCTACTAAATAAATGCAATGCGTTCCTTTTGTTTAGTTGAGCTACACATATTTACCATTTTTTGCATGTCAAAAAGAATAGTTTGAACTAATGCTCGAACTTTCTTTTGAATTGCATCTCCAGCATGCATCCTTCTTCTTTCTTATAATTATATACTATTTGCTAGGTATAAATATATGTTTAACAAACTACAAAATGGTATACACTGTGAGTCTGATATCAACATTTTTCGTTTTTTGATATTTGTATCATGAAATATAACAGACAAGAATACATAAAAATGAATGTCATTTAAATAATATTTATTGAACAAACGTGGATGGGACTGTCATCTGGATGAAGATATAGAAGGCAGCCTGCCCCGCAGAAGTGCCTACTATGGCTTTCCCCGATTACCACCTCCTCTCTGCCCTCTCGATTTAGCAACTATTATGATTTCATGACAATAATTTCTTTCTTTTTTATTGTTTTCTAATTTTATTTGCATCTTTGAAAAGTGTATTGTATTTTCCCTATTTTTAAACTGTGGAAATAGTTCTTTTTTTTTTTTTTTTACCATAATCTCATATTACATCAAATGAGTACACCCTAAGTTATTATGTCTACTCCACTATTGATGGCTATTTGTGCTTCTTATTTAGATTATTATGACTATGCTTGAATGTAGGCACTATTTACAATGCTGTCCATATCCTTCAAGACAACTTTTTATTTTCCCATTTCTATCTAGTATCTCCTCTGGAGGAGTTTATTCCACTATCCATTTCTATATCATTGATATTTTTTGAAGATCTTTCTTGATATGTCTGCTCTGCTTACAATACATGCCTTCTCTGGGTATTTTTATAAACTCCCATGACATCAATTAATATGTATTGTTTTTGATTTCTATGTCTTTATCTCTAATTATAATCATGTTCTTAAGTTTCAAGCACATAGCCAAATGACTACTAGGCACTTAGAGTCAATTTTTTCCTGATTCCCATTTCTATTAAAGTTTTTTAAAAAATGAGCAGACTAGTAAGTATTGAGTATTATGGCATGTGCCTTACATGGATTATCTGTCTGGAACTATCTCTCCTTTAATCATTTGTGCTTTCTACACTGCTGCTTTGTATTCAATTTCCACTGAGAGTAAACCTCCTTTGAAATATGCATAGCAAGATTAAAGGATGAGTTTGAACGGAAATTACTCAAGTTACAGGTAATCCATCTAGAAATCAAAACTCTGACATTCAGTGATGATACACAGAAATATATATGTGACTGACTCACAAGAGTAGACTATTCATGTTGCTAAATGTAATATTTCCTATACAAGATTATGATTGCAACAACTCTTTGGAATCAGTTCACCAAAAGAGAACACTGACCTGCCATAAACCAACAAGACATATCAGTACCTCTGAGTGCTGTGGTTTGTTTTATTAAACTCCCTCCAACCACTGTTCCCAACTGCTAACACAGACACATATTTCAATCAGCTTAGAGGTCACTTCCTTAGAAAAATCATCTTGAACCACCCTTGTCTGGATTAATGGTCTCACTTTGGTCCCGTTAGAATACTCTGCTTATTACTATTTTAGCACTCAGCAGGAAGAAATCATTTTGTTGAGGTTAGGAACTATGACTCTTGAGAAATTATATCATTCAGTTAGCAGTATCCCAGACTTAAATCAAATGCTCAATAATTGTTTTACTGTCAATTGTATGAATCACATATTTAACCTAATGACCTAGAACACACTTTTAGCATTATCATTTAATGAAATTAGCACTGTCTTTTAAAATACTTTCTTTCACAAAAGTTGCCCATATCCTTGACTCAACATGGAAGTTATTGATGTAGTTAGTTTTGCTTTGGTGGAGGAGTAATTGCTAACCCCTCTGGAATTACACTGTGAAATGATCTCCTAATCTGTTTATGCCGAAAGCTTCTACTAATGACCAAAATAACTGCCTTCCCCTCTGTGTCAAATTTGCTATTTGGACTTTGCTCTTTATGATGTTACTTGTATCTTCTGTACATATTTCTCATATAGATAATTAAAAACAGAAGTCAAGGATTTGTAATTACCTATATGGGTTACTAGCTGTTTCCTAATTGGCCCTAAAGTATAACTAATCATGGACCCTGGAAGTTACTCAAGTGTTTTCTATCTGTGATTAGTATGTTGAGAGCTGTAGTTTTCCCAATTGAAAGGTAACCCCTGGAAGCCTTAACGAATGATTTCATTTGATTGTTTTTCTTTCTTTCCTAGTCAGGTGAAGGCAGGAATCAGGCCCACTTTGCACCCAAGTTCCATTGTTTAGCCCTGTGTGTTTAAAACACTGTATTAAGGAAAGGGAACTAACTTATTCTCTGAATGATGGTATTTAAAGACCATAAAGAGGGCAATCACAGGGATCACACACTGAAGCATAAGAATGAAATGCACTTGTAATCTCGTTGTTGTTGTTAGGTGCCGTCCAGCCAATTTCAACTCATAGAGACATCATGTGACAGAGTAGAACTGCCCCGTAGGGTTTTCTAGGCTGTAATCTTTACAGGAGCGGATCACTTACAGCCTAGTTACCTCTAAAGTCATCTCTTCTCAGTCTACACACACTTCATCCTCCTCCATGCTACACTATTTGCAGAACAGTATTCTTTGTTGTAAAAATATCATTTTTCTCTCGGAGTCATTGTTATTCTACATTAGTATGAATATTTTCTTACCTAGATACAAAGAGGTCAAGTTTGACAAACTAATTGATAGTGAAATGAAAAGGAATAATTTCTATTTATGTAGCAGATATTTCATTGCTACAGTTACAAATGAGTAGGGAAAGAAGCCCTGGTTTCCCAGTGGTTAAGCTCTGGGCTACTAACCAAAAGGCTGGCCGTTGGAACCCATGTAGCAGCTCCCAGGGAGAAAGTTCTGTCTATCTAGAAAACCCTACAGGGCAGTTCTACTCTGTCTCATGGGGTCCCTATAAGTCAGAATCTACTCAACGACACCCAATGACAGGGTAAGAAACTACTTACACATGGGCAAATAACTCATTTTATTGAGGAAAGTGTGCGTGTGGTGGGGTGTGGAGTGGGGTTCAGGTGTGAATGAGATTCTGACAGA